TAATTTTTATAGTGGTTACATTAAAGTTCAAAAAACTATTTAATCTTTATTTCCATAATAGTCAAGACTGAACTAGATCTTTTTTTTCCCCTCCCTTATATAAGATACAGACTTTTTGTATACTTAATTTCTCTATACTGCTTATATAGGATAATATCTGTGGTTTTGAATCTCAGTTATTCATATTATTTAGAGCTGCGTCATACTTTTAACTGCTTTTAGTGTTCTTAACAAATCTTTTTACGTAATAGCTTTGCCATTTTTCAAGCTCCTAATTTTGGTTTGGGGAGGCTCAACTGGATCAATTATCCAGGAAGTTATTTAAAGGAAGATACATGGGAGCATATTTTCTGATCCCTCATATATTTAGTATTTTATTTCTGGGTCTTCAGACCTTTTTAATTGACTGGGTATAAAATTTTTGACTCACATGGTTTCCGTCTTAAAACTCTAAAGCTTTGCTTCACTGTTTTCTGCCATTTAATGGTGCAAAGAAATCCAAAGTCAACCTGAGTTATATTTTTTTCCTGCAATTATTTGGTTTTCTTGCTTGTGTGGTTATAGAATTTTTGTTTTATTCATGTAATAAAGATTTAGCTAAGATTTTTCAAGGTATAGCCCTTTTTTCATTGATAATTGCCTGGCATTTGATGAGCCTAAAGTTGAGGGTTTTTTTCCTATCCAAGAAAGTTTTCTTCAGCTTTATCTTTGCTTATTGATTCCTTCCATTTCTTATTTTCTCCTCAGGAACAGCTGCATTTCTTAGCTTAGAACTCTTTTCTCTGCCCTCCGGTATCATTATATTTCTAATAGTTTTCATCTCTTGACTGCATTCTGGGACATCTTCTAAAGTTTGTATTCCACATCGTTGAATTAAACTTGTCATAATGTTATGTTTACTCTTGCTTCCTCCAGTGCAATTTCGATTACTAAGTATTTTTCATCTTTTCATTTTGATCTGTCTTCTCACTTTCTATTCCAAAGATGAGAAATCTTGTAGTCTGTTGATGCCAGATAGTTTTCTTAAATTTTGTTTATGATTCCTACCAAAAGACCATCTACGTAGATTGTCCACAGCGCCATATTTTTGTCTCAACTTAGGGGCTAATCAGGTCATCTTTGGTCTGTAGCTCTACAGGTTCTTATATACCTCCCCTAGCTCAGTTTCCAGGGTTCTTAGTGGAGTTTTCTTCTCTTACATTGCCTGATTGTGTACTATTCTGAACATATGAGTATGTAGAAAAATGATAGTCTCGGATATTAACTGCTATCAGAGGTTCTTAAAATCTGCCCCATAGTGTTTTACATGTGGTTATTCTTTTTTTTTTTTTGACAATGCAATTCACTGCAACAAACCCTTCTCTTCTTCTTGCCAGGTGGTTTTTTGGAAAATTTAGTCTGTGACTAGATCAAGAAAGAGTAACAGTTGGGGTGACAGGGGGAAGAAGAAATAGCACTGACTGCTTTCTGCCTCAAAAAACAGCACCCATGAAACTGGATGGTTTTCTCTTCATTATATGGCTTTATGTTAGTGTGTTTCTGAACCAGAAGATAGACAGTGAGAGAGGAACTAAGGACCTTTGTACTTGCTTGCTTGCTGCTTGCTTTCTCTTTTACTGGTGGTAGTGTTGTGTGCCATCGAGCTCATAACGACCCTATAGGACAGAGTAAAAACTGCCCCATACGATTTCCTAGGGTGAAATTTTTATGGGAGCAGATCGCCAGGTTCTCCCCACCCCCACCAGCTGCTGGTAGGTTCAATTAGCAGCCGAGTGCTTTAACCATTGCACCACCACCAGGGTAACTGGTGGGTATTTTTATTTCTGTTCTATTGGCTTGCAGTACCTTAATTTATCCACTTATTCTTTCAACCAATATTTATTGAGTTCTCACTATGTGCCAGACCTTTGCTAGGTACCAATTGTATGTAATGAACAAAACAGAGTGTTTATTCCTTCACTGAAGGTAGAAATAATTTGTTGATTTTGCCAGTAACACATTTTGATAATGCTGCAATGTTTTATCCACCCCCTCCCTTTTTTTTTTTTCTCCATGAGTATTTACTGGAAAGTTTAGAAAGGCTGTAGTAATAACTACAAAGGTCCGTAGGTGATGCAAATGGTTTGCACTCCACTGCTAACATAAAGGTTAGCAGTTCAAACTCACCTAGTGGTGCTGTGGAAGAAAAGGCCTGGTGATCTGCTAATGCTAAGATTACAGCCAGCAAAACCCTATGGAGCAGTTCTACTTTGTAACACACTGGGTCACCATGAGTCGGAATTGACGGCAACTGGCAGCAACAACAACAGATACCAATTTAACTTCTTTCTCCATATGCGTTTTTTTTAAATTTGCTCTGAATCTAGACAGTAATGTTTGTAAGTAGCACAGTGTTCATTATCCTGACCCTAAAGGATTATTTCCCTGAAACCTCTCGGCACAACTAGCTTACTACTGCCCTCCCTTTATTTATTTTATTTTTTTGACATTAAAGAACAGAAATTTATTTTCTCATAGTTAAGGAAGCTAGAAGTTTGAAGTCAGGGCACCAGCTCTAGGAGAAGGCTCTCTGTGTCAGCTCTGGGGGAAGATCCTTGTTTCTTTCAGCCTCTGTTCCTTGGTTCCTTGGTGATCCTCCTCATGTGGCGTCTGTCTTCCTGTTTGTGTTTGTTTGTTTGTGTCTGTGCTGCTCCTATAACTCCGCAGTGATTAGTTGTTTTTTTTTTTTAATTGTACTTTAGATGAAGCTTTACAGAGCAGACTAGTTTCTCATTAAACAATGATACACATATTGTTTTCTGACCTTGGTTGCCAACCCCATGACATGTCAACAGTCTCCCCTTCTCGACCTCAGGTTCCCTATTACCAGTTTTCCTGTCCCCTTGTCCTTGCCCCTGGGCTGGTGTGCCCATTTAGTCTCATGTTGTTTTATGGGCCTGTCTAATTTTTGACTGAAGGGTAGACCTCAGGAGCAACTTCATTACTGAACTGTAGGGGTGTCCAGGGGCCATACTCTCAGGGTTTCTCCAGTCTCGGTCAGATCAGTAAGTCTGGTCTTTTTTTGGGGGGGGGGGGTAGTTAGAATTTTGTTCTATATTTTTCTCCAGCTCTGTCCAAGACTGTCTATCGTGATCCCTGTCAGAGCAGTCGGTGGTGGTAGCTGGGAACCACCTAGTTGTGCTGCACTCAGCCTGGTGGAGGCTGTGGTAGTTGTGGTCCATTAGTCCTTTGGACTAATCTGTCCCTTGTATCTTGTTTTCTTCATTCTCCCTTGCTCCAGACCAGATGAGACCAGTGGAGTATCTTAGATGACCGTTCACAAGCTTTTAAGACCCCCAGATGCTGCTTGCCAAAGTAGGATGTAGAACATTTTCTTTAGAAACTATGTTATGCCAGTTGAGCTAGATGTTTCCCAAGACCATGGTCCCCATAGCCCTCAGCCCAGTAATTTGGTTCCTCGGGGAGTTTGGATTACTGTTCTCACTTCAAAAAAAATTAGATTAATAAAATTATCATATACTTTTATGTTTTTTATGATTTTAAGAAATGTTTTAGCATGATAATATTTTAACTTACCTTAGAATTTTCATTCTAAAATAAATTCATATCTATTTGAAAGGTAAATGATAAAGCTGTATTAGGTGATAATAGATGAAAAATTTAGTTGGCTTTTAACTATATTTCCTGGCATTTATTATTAAAAATAAAATTTAGGGGATATGATTTTTCTTACCATTTTGCACATAAGGAGATAAAAACAGAGGTAATTTTTGCATGTGATTCTTGTATTTAGAGAAAACTTATTCTAGAACCTTTTATACATAAACGCTTCCAGTAAATATTATGAGCTTTTAAACAAAACCCCCAAAAAAGATCAGAGACTTTAACATATAAATAGACAAGAAGCAGCACAAAGTATACATAGACCTGTAAGTGTGAAATGTAATGAGCAAAGCAGTTGTCTAATTTTAGTAAGTAAACCCATAAACACAAGATAAAATATTGACTTATAATTTGGATAGCTAACATGTTTGTTATGTAATTTGTAATAGAGTTAGTGTCAGAGAAGGAGAACTTTAAGCAAAACAGGACCTTGCAATTATAAGTCACATCACATTTTAATTTCTCAGATTTCCTGGTATTAAAAAATAAGATTTTTTTAATGTGTATGAGTGGCTGCAGAATCACGTTTATAAGACTGTAGGCATCTTGTGGGTAAGGACTAATATGTGAGTTTCTTTGTGCAGCAGAATATTATAGTCAAAAGATGTTTGCTTTCAATAAAGATGATACAGTTGTTCTTAGTGGAAAACACAGTGTCTTCCTTCATCTGTAATAATAGTGGTATTTGTTTTAAAGGTAGTGGTTGGGATTTTGGATGTATTTTCATATTAGCTATACCTTTCTCAGCCAGTTTGTTCATACTTGGGGCAATTGTGTTAAATTTGTTGTTGTTGTAGGGGTGAGAGGAACACCTTCGTGAAGCGAAGCACAGAGTATGTTGTTCACAGCTCTTTCCCCTAGGGATTAGAAGTCTTCTCCCTGCTCTCCTTCCACCCCATTATACCTGTGTACCTGCAAAGTGATCCAGTAACCCTAATCAACATGTTAATTTAGCTGAAAATCAAGAGGCTCAGCGAAATTACTGTTTGTGTTGATCACTTTAGTTAATCATGTTAGTCCAGCTACATTTTACATTTACAGTATGGTAAGAAATGTGGCTAATTGGTACGTTAGAATTACTTTGTAGCTGAGGTAGGTTAACATTGCTGAAAGACTTAAGCTCTGTCTACATTGGAAACTTGCCTAATATCAACTTTTATTTATTTTCTACTGATTTGATATTTGCAAACTTGCTTTAATTAGTTGTGTCATAACTGAATAAAAGGATACTTGACATGTTTTTCTAAAACTCTTTTAAAATAAACTTATGTGACATGTAACTCTAATTTTAAACTCATAAACTTTGTGTTTATAATGATTGATATACTTGTTTCTAGGGGCCACCTACAGATGCTCCTGCAGTGGACACAGCAGAACAAGTCTACATCTCTTCCCTGGCACTGTTAAAAGTAAGTATTGATTGGATTACTTGCTTTTAAGAGCTCTTTTGCTTTCCCTGTATCTTTAATTTTGGAATATTTGTCACCTTGATCTTCTCAGACATAAGCTATTTTTTTAGGTGCATCTGTAGAATAGAGTGCTTTACTTCCATTGAAACAAAATTAGGTCATTTTAAAGAGTACCAGAGATCTCAAAGAAATGAGCTTTGTGCCACGTATTTACCTCTTCACAGATGTTAAAACATGGTCGTGCTGGAGTTCCAATGGAAGTTATGGGTCTGATGCTTGGAGAATTTGTTGATGATTATACCGTCAGAGTGATTGATGTGTTTGCTATGCCACAGTCAGGAACAGTGAGTACTTTTAGGGTTGCTTTCTTCAAGTAAATGTGTTTCTCTTTTTTCTTTCTCTATGCAAAATAACTTTTCATCATATTATGTTTTCCCAATTATATTACCCTTTTAATATGAAAAAATAATTTTACTGGACTATTTTCAGTAAAAAAATATTAGTGATAGAAATTTCTAAACTATATTTAGTAAAATCACCTTTTAAATGCACCGTGAGTTCCCTATAGGTCCGCAGAATGAATGATGCTAACACTAAATCCCTTTATTCATACCATCACCTTTTACTAGCATTACATGTAAAACATCAGAGTATTAGTTTTAGTCTGAACACTTGGTTCAAAATATTTCAGAGACTTTCTTAAAATTTACATTTTTAATACACATATATTAGCTAGTGCTCATGGTTTGTTTCCATTCTTTTGAAATGACAGTTTTTTTTAATGTTCTACATGTGATGAATGACTTTTAAGCTTTTCCTATTTAAAATATTAAGTTGTAAAATAAACAAATAAACCATAGAGAGTCTTAGTTCTTTTTGTCCAGGCGTGAAAATTTGTTTCTAGAAGAAGCAGTTTCCATTCAGATTTTGAAAGTCATCTACTCTACCTGTTTAGACTGTATTGTTCTTTTTCGAAGGGTTTTTTTTTTTTTTGTTTAATGCATTGGACTTGTGTACATAGGTATACATTTAGATTTAAAGAAAATAGCCAAAAAGAACCATTCTACCTACCTTCCAAACAATAAGTAATAATACACATAACCTTCCCATTTACTTGCCAAGAAAAGTATACTATATATGTTTTTCTGATGGGTGGTTTTACTCTAATATGCAACATTTCTTGTATCAAGCCTTATAAAATACCTGGATTAAAGAATTGCCATAAAGCTTGTTTACTCTATTTGAGATTCCTTACTATAAGTATACTTTGATAAGATAGATACCAGTGAAAAGCAATTATATTTTTAAACAATACAACATATATATACACACACATATATAGCATTTTAAATAGGGTAGTTACTAGAGAATGCAATATATTTGTAAATAATGCAAAATGTAGAAGAAAATGCACAAATTAAAAAAATCTTTAAATAGACCAGTTTGTTGAGGTAAACTAATTTGGATCCACTGATTTTGTCTGCTTGGAAATCCATCATATTTGTGCATTTGGACATAGAGAAAGACTCTACATACTAACTAAAGATTTAGATTTAAGTCTTAGACTATTATGACTTGTATCTACCTTTTCAGGGGGCAGCGGTGGTTCAGTGGTACAATTCTTACCTTCCGTGCAGGAGACCTCTAGACCTGAGTTTAATTTTTTGGCTAATGTACCTCTAGTGCAGCCACCACCCGTTTGTCAATAGAGACTTGCATGTTGCTGTGATGCTGAACAGGTTACAGCGGAGCTTCCAGACTAAAAATAGACTTGGAAGTAAGGCCTGGCGATCTGCTTCCAAAAGTCAGCTAATAAAAACCCTGGTCCTATCCACAAACTGACTGGGCAGCATTTCATTCTATTGTGTGTGGGGTCACCATGAGTAGGTACGGACTCAACAGCAGTAAACAACAACTACCTTTTCATGTCAGAATATAAAAAATCACGTAAGAAGATAAGCTACTTTTTCTGTTAAATGTGGCCCTTATGTAGATATCCATTAAAATAAATGGTTCTTGGGCCTTTGTATCATTTCTTTGTAAATGCTTATTTGACAAAATACAATAGAAGATTTTTGATCCTCATATTTACTCTGTTGGTCGAATTAGAAAGGTTTTCTTTTGACTCAGGAGCCAGCAAACTTTATGTAAAGGGTCTCATATGGCTCTGTTGCTTTTCCTTCTTATTTGTTTTTGTTTTTTAATAACCCTTAAAAAATATGAAAAACTATTCTTAGCCCAGGGCCCCTAGGCTACAGATTGCAGACATACCCCTATTCTGGAGGATGCATTCACAGTTAGAATTCAAATACTGTTTGTTTTAGTGGGAAGGAAGTAGTTATGTTTACTGGTTTGTTTAAGGAGATTAGACTTAGATCCTGATGTTAGAAGAAAGTCTCTCTGGTAATGTATCACCAGAGAGATGATGTGAACCTTTTTTATTCTTCTGTGTTCTAAAATCTTATTTTGGACAAGCTAGCAAAATAATACAACATTTAAAGGACTTGGTTGCTGATTGTCTAGTGGAGAGTTTTTTGTGATTTCTTTTAAGTTTGAGGCAATGTTCAAAATATATTTTCCTCGAACTACCTTATCTGCCAGGTAGTCCTAACCAAAAAAAACCAAACCTGTTGTGGTCGAGTTGATTCCGACTCATAGCAACCTTGTGAAACAGAGTAGAACTGCCCCATAGTGTTTCCAAGGAGCAGCTAGTGGATTTAAATTGCTGACCTTTTGGTTAGCAGCTGAGCTCTTAACCACTGCACCACCAGGGCTCGAGGCAGTCCTAAGTAAAGCACTAAACTTCCTCCCCTCTCAACCCACTCATTGAAAAAACAAACAACAATTAAAAAAACCACCACCTTAGGAAACTAATAATTTCTTTACTTTCTTCAAAGTGTTTACATTTTTGAAAAAAAGAATTGGGGGTGCTTTATTACAATAGTTGAGTAGTTACAGAACTTTTAAAATTGGAAGAGACATAGTACTTATCAGAGGATAGCATTAGGAAGTATGTTTGCCTAGATGGTCTTACAAAAGTTATGGTTGGTACAGTTATTTGGTATTTCTGATTATATATTTGTGACAATGGCCACAAACTTTTGAAGGATCCTGAAAGTTGTCTTAAATCACTAATGGCAATTTTAGAGGCTTTATTGGTATATGGTTTATAATTGAATGACATGATTGGGTATCAAATATGGTTATCAAAACCTATACAAAGATTTAGGTACACAAAATAATATACAAAGGAGCTTTTTGTTCATTTAATATAAAGTAGCCTTTTTTTCCCCCAAAGTTATAAAAGCTAACAATTTTTCTTTCTTTCTAAATCAGGGTGTTAGTGTGGAGGCAGTTGATCCAGTGTTTCAAGCCAAAATGTTGGATATGTTGAAGCAAACAGGAAGGTAAGTATTTTAAATGATCGTATAAAGAAAGAATGGGAAATAATTTAAACATATCTCAAAATTATAAATGTTTTTAAGGTCATTCCCAGAACAAAAGCCACGTAGTTGATGTAAAAGTATCTATCAATATCAATGCTGTGTACTGCCTATCTAGTATCTCTTCCCTCTGGAGTATCAAAGAAATTTGCCAGAGAACTGCCTCTTATTAAAATTTTCTACTGTCTCATAGTAAGCTTGGACTGTAGCTTCCCTCTGTTAAGTATATGGAGTTACTGTCTAGTCACATATAATTGAAGAGCTTGTATTTGAGAGTTGCAACTGAATGAAATTCTGGATACTTAATTATGTCTGTAGGTATATGAGTTTTAAAGACAGGGAAAGTAGAATCCAAATATTCTTCAAGTTTTTTTTCCCCAGACTGAATCTCTTGATAGTTGTCATTCTCTTGCTCAAATTCTTCTACTGTGGAAAAAACTTCAAAATTAATGTTAGCAAAAGGCTCAGCAGCTGAGCAGAACAGTGCAAATTGGTTTTTGACTGAGTTCCTAGTTCTACTGCTGGTTTAATTGATATTTAATCCTTTCACAACAGTGGATCCTGGTGTCCATTGTTATAAATGTACTCTGTGCCTGGAAAATACAACTCCCAGAGCTAAGGAGTTAAAGAGTAGATATTTACTTGAATGCTGGAAGGGTAAAAACTGGCTCTGAGAAAGTGTGGTAACAAGGTGAAAAACTGAAAGCCTTATCTACCACTGCTAATGTGCATCTCTTAATGATAGCACTCCTTTGTCACACTTACTCATTTCCATGTTTTATGGATAATATGGTGTATGATTTCAATGTTTCTAATGGTGGGTTTTCACACCTGTGTGTTTTTCATCTCTTCTTAATTTATACCCTGTTAGTGTGTTGTTTGTTTTCATATCATAAATGTATTACTTGTCCTGTTCTGAGCATCTGAATGCCCTCTTTGTTTCAGGCCTGAGATGGTTGTTGGTTGGTATCACAGTCACCCTGGCTTTGGTTGTTGGCTTTCTGGTGTGGATATCAACACTCAGCAGAGCTTTGAAGCCTTGTCGGAGAGAGCCGTGGCAGTGGTTGTGGATCCTATCCAGAGTGTAAAAGGAAAGGTAGAGTATCTACTGCCATGTAAGGTTTACAGACAAGTTAAATAAATATCTATGTTGCTTAAAGCAGGACTCTTAATTACACAGAAAACCACTGCCTGTTTACTTTAAACAAATGAAAAACTGAACAAGTCTGTAAATGTGCCTTGGCATTATTAGCAGTTTAATTATTTAGAGATTTGTTTCTATTTTAATAGTTATTGTCTAGTAATCATGAATGCTTATATTTAAAATTTTTTAATTTTGTAGAGTAAGGAATATTAAGCCATACTAAAAGCATGCTATACACATTTTATTAATATTCTAATAAATGATGCTTTACCTTCCTTTATTTTCAGATGGTGAATTTGGGATTGGTACAACATTTAAACAATCTAGTTAAAGGGCTCTGTTTTCTGGACATTGTGCAGGACATACTCTGGTGTTGTATGTTCCAGATATTTTAGACAATAAAAACTTACCCCAAAGACTTGTTATCAACCATTTGCAGTTCTCGAGTGAGAATGCAGATGAATGATTAAATATGCTAAATGATTCTAAAAAGAGATTAACTTGCAAAGCATATTGGGTTGTAGTTGTTCTTTGTTGAAATCTCTTTTGTTCTTGTTTAGTTCTTTTTTTTTTTTTGTTCGTTCATTCTTTTTTTTTTTTTTATTTCTTTCTTTCTAGCCCCATATGCCATTTTCCTATTTCCTGCCTCATGACAGCAGGGAGCAGCTCTATTATCACCTTCACAGAGCTGTCTGCAAATGTGAGAGGCAATTCGATTTTGCTCAACCACAGGGAGAATGGATTAGAAAAACTACAGAACATACAGAAATTGGCTAGGTAGTTACTGCTTTAAAATACTGCTGAGGTGTCTTGTTTGAGCATGTACTTCTATTGTAGTGTAGAATAATTGTTAAAATAAAATCACAATACATTTATGGAATCCTTTTTATGCAGCTTTTTAGAAATAAATTTTAGAGTACTTAAAAATAAATATTAGCTTTCTATCTATCAGACCTGGAGTTTGATAGTCATGCAGATTACATTTGCATCTGTTCACCAGCTCAAACAAACTAAACATGGTTGTTACTTTAGAGTTCTTATCTGTCATGAATTTGGAGTTGAACACTTTCTGACTTCATATTAATGTGATGAATAAAAATTGAGGTCTTCTCTAAATCATGATCCTATTAGTTATGATTTAGCTTTTCGGAGGCAGAAACCGTACACAAAAACAATAATAATAGAAGCTGATATATAAGGCAATTCAAAATGCATAACTTCTGATGCTTGCTAGATACCTATATTTGAAATTATTTACCTTTTTTTTTTTTACTAAGTGCATTGTTACTTAACTGATAAAAGGTTGAAAATCCTTGTTTTCTGAATTACATTACAGTGTAAAATACCTGTCAGGTTTAATTCTCCAATATTTAACATAACATTTTAGTAACTCATAAATAATTTAAGTAATAATTTTTGTTTTAGAAATACAACATAATTATCTGATAAAGCCCCTCCTCCACCGTCACAATATTTATTAGTAATAATTGAAGTTTAACTTTAAATATAAATAGGATTCTCCACAGGACTATACCCCACACGAACCATAGCCTCTGGCACAATATTTATACAAACCTGAGATCAGAAGAACTAGATGGTGCCCAGCTGCCACTACCAACAGTTCTGACCAGGGACACAACTAAAGGTCTTGGATAGAATGTGAGAAAAATGTAGAACAAAACTCAAATTCCTGAAAAAGGCCAGACCTACTGGACTAGATGAACCCCCAAGACTATTGCCCTAAGATATCCTTTGAACTTGGAATTGTAGCTATTTCTGCTGGTCACCTTTCAGCCAAATAATGGATTGAATTATAAAATAAACAAAATCACCCATGAATAATGTGCTTCTTAAACAGTTAACTATATGAGACCGAACAGTCAAGATTTACCCAAAAGCAAATGTGAGAAGGCAGAGAGGGGAAAGGAAGCTAGATCATTAGAAACAGAACAGAATGGAAATAATGAGAATGCTGACACATTGTAAAAATTGTAACCAATGGCATGGAACAATTTGTATGAAAATTGCTTAAAAAAAGAAAAAAACCTTTTGCCGACAAGTTGATTCCCACTCATAGTGACCCTATTAGGACAGAGGAGGACTGCCCCATAGGATTTCCAAGGAGCCACTGGTGGATTTGAACTGCTGACCGTTTAGTTAGCAGCTGATCTCTTAACCAAATTTGCTGTGTCAACTTTCACTTAAAACAGATTAAGGTATTTTATATATATATATGTAGGGCTCTATTTTGTAGTATTAGTTTGACTTTTTATGATACTTTGACTCATAATAGTGGTCACATTGAAAAGGAAAATGTAAACTTATATACATTCAAAGAGCATTCTCAAAACAATGTAAATAAATGAGTATGCATTTTATTTTTGGTTATCCTGTTTGTAGTATTTCAAATGGCAGTTTTAGTTTCCAAACCTAGTTTAAATATTGTAGAACATTGAAATTTGCTTTGTTTATTCCTAATTATAATTTATATTAAAAGAATGCATTTTATTTAAAAATATACTTGTGTCACATGACTCCACTGACAATGTGGTAAAATGTATTTTTATTTGTTAAATAGTATATCCAGAATTACATTATGTGATCACATGTGTCATTATCTAGTTTTAGAATATCATGAAAAAATATTTTTTAAAAAATTAAATGTAAGTATCTGTCATTGATAATGCACATCATTTGTTGTACCTAACATACAGATTCATACATTCACTTGGAATCAGGATCCAGTTCTTTTTATCCATGATGCAACTTCATCTATAAGATTTCTGAGTTTAGTTGTAATTTATGGTTCTTTCAGTGTTGGGTCCTGTCAAAACTATGAACCAAATTAAATGCTAATACATCCACGGCCAGCATATCCTAGTTAAATCATTAAACTTAAAAATATAAACTTATAAAAATGAAGAAATACATAAAACTCTCCTCCTTCCCTCGATATGATTTGGCAAAGTAGTCAAAATACTTAGTAAGGCATTTATTGGATCAAAAGTTAAAATAATGGTCTATATGTAAATGATTTAAGCTGGGTCTCTACACACCTTTTTTAAAAACCTTCTTCCTGTATATTTTATTTGCATTTTTATAAATCCCAATATTATCTCTCTGTTTTTGAATGATTAGATAAGCATGGATTCTTTCTTTGTAATCTCAGCTCATTCACAATGTTTTATTTCCTTTCATGATGATTTGACTGTATCTTTATTCAATAATTGTTATGTGTCAGGTATTACGCTAACTCTTTCAACTTACTACTTAAAAAAGCTTATTGTTTATAGTAATCCTAGAGGTAGGCACTATTGTTATTCCATTTTATCAAGAAAAGGGTAAAAAATTAGGGTCAAAGTTGTTACCTCACCCAAAATCATACCATTGGTAAGCAGCAGAACAAGTATATTAATCCAAGTCTGTAAAATTTCAGAGCTCAAACCTTTTTACTGGCTCTTTAATATTGGACTATTATGAAGTATATAATCAAGGTAACTGTGGAATGGAAAATGAGTAGCAGAGGTCATTGCAGGGACTTTTCATAAGTTACTATGTTGATAGGTGTCACTTCTTCCAGCACAAGTCAAGAGAAGGAACTGCACATTTTCTCATTAGTTCTCCATAATACTTATAGTATATATTAAGCATTTATTTTTCTCATGTAGTGTTTGTTCTATGAATTTTAAAAAGTAATTTAGACACACTTATCCTTGCCATCTCTTAGGACATCTGTAGGACCAGACATTGAGACCAACATAAATAATAAAATGTACCGTATAATATTGAAAATATTTAAAAATTATATAGATTAAAAGTGAAATCTGTGGTAATAGCATTCATATTTTAAATGGAAAGTAAGCTCATAGGAATTACCAGTGAACTCTGCCCTATTCAGTGAAATTATCTTTAAGGTTCTGCTTTATTTTTTAGGTTATTTGTAAAATGTATGTATTCAATTTTTTTTTTTAATTTTTTTATTGTACTTTAGGTGAAGGTCAGATATTTTTAAATTCAATTCTCAAATGACACAGTGGCAACCACTTGCATAATGTTCTGTTATCTTATATATTCAGTCCACAACTGGACTCGATCCAGTAGCAACTTTAGAAGTGAATCCAATTTGTAATGTGACCGTACTTCTTCCTTAGGGTAAAACGAATTACCACTTTGTGCAAAGTTCTAAAACTAGCATACAGCTGGGTTATGATATTTAATATATTTATAAAAAAGCATTATTCCTTTTACACACTCATTATACTGACAGGAGTTCTGTCAGTAAAATGTTTGTTACCTGCTAACTCCACACAATCTTTGTGTCTCTTCTGTATTCTGAAAGTATAAAAAACACTGTCTTAGTTATCTAGTGCTGCTATCACAAGTGGATGGCTTTAACAAACAGAAATTTATTCTCTCACAGTTTAGGAGGTTAGAAGTCCAAATTCAGGGTGCCAGCTCCAGGGGAAGGCTTTCTGTCTCTGTTGGCTCTGGAGAAAGGTCCTTGTCATCAATCATCCCCTGATCTAGGAGCTTCTCAGCACAGGGACCCTGGGTCCAAAGGACACACTCCACTCCTGGTTCTTCTTGCTTGGTGGTAATGAAGTCCCTCTCCTCTGCTTGATTCTCTTTTATATCTCAAAAGAGATTGACTCAAGATACAACCTAATCCTGTAGATTGAGTCCTGCTTCATTAACATAACTGCCTCTAGTCCTGCCTCATTAACATCATAGAGGTTAGGATTTACAACACATAGGATAATCACATCAGATCACAAAGTGGTGGACAACCACACAATACTGGGAATCATGGCCTAGCCAAGTTGATACACATTTTTTGTGGACACAGTTCAATCCACAACAAATACTGATGATCATTTAGGTCAAGTATGTATTCATACTGAGTGGGTTTTCTTGACAAATTTTTATTCAGTATGATCAGAAGTGGTCAATTA